TGTAACGAGTGCTCGTACTTTCTTGAAGATTTCTCTAAACAACAAAAAATTAATTAAAACCACCAGAGTAACAATTAATTTTCAATTTGAGTCGCATAAACATTTAAATTGTTTGTCTGCAATTTAGTTGCCACAACACGAATGAACAAGCAAACACATGTACCGGGTGTAAGGGAGTGAGATCTCTTTTTGTGGAGCTCCTTTTAACCATAACCATATGTGTATGCCACATACATCCATACATATGTACTCGGATTCAGATTAACGCTTCAGGCACGCTCCAGGCATCATTTTCTTCCGAGTTGGGGGCCGGCTGCTCCATGAATTTCAATACGCGCTGCTGCCATCCGTCTCCATCCCGCTGCTCTCTGCTCATTTATGCCACAAAGCGTAAGCAAACTTTCAAGACGGCAATAAAATCGCAAGACGCCATGTTTAACTGCCGCACAACTTCCGTAACCACTAAATTCGCATGGCGCACATCCTTCCCATACATTTAGCATCCTATTTACATATGCCTGAGGGATAAAGGAGCTGGAGCTGGAGCCAGAGCTGAAGCTGAAGCTAAAGCGGAATCTGCGGCTTCCTTGTCATATTTCCATTAGCATTTGCCATTTAACTCATCATGTGGGCGCGAATGTGTATCTCTCTGTGTCTCTGGGAGGGCGGATAAGTGTATCATCTTGGCTTGGCGCATTTATTACCCATATTTGAGCATCCGGCTTTTATCCTTTCGCTCCGCACATCCTGACGAGCACCGTAATTGCTTGCTGCCTTTAGCGCCTCGCCCATTGTCATGGAAGGCGAAAACTTTATTATTTCCATTGTTCGACGGTGTCGACGCTGACGTCTCGTATGGGTAATGGCTGGAAAGTGACAAATCTACGATATGCTAAAACGATATTCAAGGACACCCAATAAGGTATTCAAAGGGTGCTTATACGATATTCAGTGAGTAATTTAACACGATATTCGAGTGTGGAAAATCTCAAGAGCCCCATATTTTGTAAAAATATAATACAAATAATGAAAAGATTTCTTTTTTTTTATATTTTATTTTATTATATTTCTGTTATATGCGAGTATGCCAATTCCAAATTAAATTTTTGCGATTCGTAGTGCAGCTAACCGGCAGCATCGACAATTGTCCATTGATTCATTGTGCAGAACTTAACCTCGAATCCGAATGAAATAAACGCAGCGCAATGAAGCTACTGATTGTTGAACTCTTGAACTGTATCGGGACTTGATAGAAACGCAATCAAATAATTGCGCAAAGTGTGCCACAATCAAATATAGCAACAAATTAACCAAACGCCAACACCACCAAACATTCTCGCACTGCAAATCGATAAAGCCCCAGAGAGAGAGAGACGAGAACTGGGGGGGACGAGATGCTCGTAGATGAAAAAACCACAGAGAAAATATTATAGAATTATCCAGTTGGTGGGGATGGATCGCGCAGACCGAAAAGCGATAAGTTTACAATTGCTTATGACTTCAATTAATCTGTGAAAGCGCCTACGCAGGCAGGCAGGCAGTCAGGGCAGGCGACCAGGCGAAGGCGGAGGAAGGCATTCAGAGTCAGGCAATCGATGTCTGGACTGAGAATTCTTCTGCACGAAAATAGAAATTGCAATTGAACTTCGGGAGAAAAAACTGGCTGTGGTCTGGCTTTGGGTCGGGCTCTGTAGCTACAGCTACAGCTCGTACAAGCTCAACTTCAGGTTCGGGTCTCAGACCGCAAACGCAGCCGCCGCAAGACAATTGACCTGAAATTTCATTGAAGATGTGCCCGGGGGTCTAGCCCCCGGTGCTCGTACAGTGCAGTCTTTGAACAGAACATCAGAACCCAAAAGAAAACGGTAAATGGCTTAGTCATTGGCCGACTCCCAGGCACCATGATGATGAGGAAGAAGGTGCAGACGATGATTGTAATCACGATCATTATAATTATTTGACTTTGGCATTATTATCAAAATGGAATCGCATGCATGTCCATGTTCACGTCGCCCTATGGGTGGGTACTGTAGACTGGAGACTGTTGACTGGGAACAGGGAACTTGAACTCGCACGCATCTGCAGATGCAGCCAGGATGGAACCAGAGCTTGGCCCTATTTCACACACCCACGCGGATGGGATGGGGAGTCATGTGAGCACAGCACCCTCACGGCACAGCCTACAATGGAGAGCATACAGATATTATTAATAATGAATTTAGCCAACAATTTCCATCTCTTCGTTTCTTCTTTTGTGCTCGTAATTTTTTGCAGGTGTTTGCATCCTTTTGCCGCTTCATTTTCAATTTACGCAAATGGAATCCGATTCGCGTCGGAAAATGATCTTCCGATGTGGCAGACACACATGAGGCACTCGCCAGGTGCTCAAATTGCCACAGGTACGGGGCCGAAATTCAAACAACAGCCACAGGAAGGGGTTATCCGAGCAAAGTTCATGGCCAGTGGACGTGTGTGCTCAGATGCATCTTCATCTCGATTGCAGGCCTTTGCGCAGCTGTGCGGTAGCCTCCGCTGACCACTTGGATTATTTTGGTCAGCCACTGGTTCGGTGGATCTACGGATGTCATTTGTGGCACCTTTGAACTCCTCACGCGCCTCCTGGAAATCATGAAAGCGCCGCATCTAACACGGAAAGTGGTAAGCGATTTTTCTTTTATTATTTTTTGTGCTTTAACTTTTTTGCAAGTTTCTTGTTGTGTTGTTTGTTCAAGGAAAATTGAAAAGTTGATTAAGTTGCAGGTGAAATGTAATCATTGGTTATGGTTGGGTGTTGTTGCCAGAGCCTCAAATTGGGGAAATGGAAAAGTATATTGAAAGTTGTCTGTTGATGGGGATACATCAACTAAAGATACATTGTTGTGCAGTCCATTAAGTGGGAGGTGTGGTTGAAATACATTCAAGTTAAGGGATACATTCAAAGACACTCAGTGGCCCAGATTTTGAAATACTAAGGATGAATTTCCTATAAATATATTAACTATTTCTGGTTTTGACACACCGTTGATCAAATATTGTTTATGTACACGTGCACAAGCGTTTATAAATTATACAAAATGTGTCCATTGTCAGTCATCTATTGCATCTATTGCACAGTAACCACTTGGCAGATGGTAAATCACTTTGGAAACCATAAAACTGATGGGGTAAAAGGCGAAATGAAAATGAAAACATGTCAATGTGAGTAGGTAAAATGGAGCTTAGCATAAAATGAAAGATTTGTGCCCGAGCGAGCGAGTGGCTTCCATTTGGGGCCGCCTGATGAGGAGGATCTCCGACCCGGGCCAGAGTCAGAGTCAAAGTCAGAGCAAGAGCCAGGGCACAGAAGCAGCCATAAAGAAGCTTTTATGGCCACTGGACTCCAGGCGAAGCCGATGCCCCAAGTCGAGATGATAAATTGTCTACCATGGCCAGTTGGCTGGCTGGACGTTTGTCGATTATTTCCCTAGTTGCTTTTTATTTTTGCTTAGGCAGGTCGACAACTTTTCACTGCCGACGACACTAACGGCTACCATAGATCAGTGCCGAGCTGGGAGTCCTCTCCACTCGAGTCTCCCAATCCAGAGACTCCACCGAACATTAGATTAGACAATTTGTAGAGGGGCTCTGCTGCGGCGAACAGTCTGTGCCTGCAAGCAAGCGCCAGGGTCGAGGCTTTATGGAATTTATCAGCCCACGATCCCACTCTCCCGACACTCTCCACTCTCCTCTGGCATTCACAGTTTCCTCTTCGTGTTAATTGAAAATTGTACGGTAATGTTGCTTATCGCGCTGCTATCACAGACGTCGACGTCGTCGTCCACAACATTGGGTGTCTCTGGGACTTGCGTGTGCCGCGCCGCGCCGTGTCGTGCCGTGTTCATGTTTCGTGGACAGCCTGCCGCACTGCCACACCTCGAGAAGCCGCACTTGGTGCCGTGCCTCGAGCCACGCATCGGATCTGACTTTTATATATTACGAGTATTCGATGCGGCTGCTGGCGGGTGAAAATTTCTTTCTAACACTTTTTGACAACTTTCGGTGGAACGCACTTAAAAACAATTTATCGCCGCTGACATTTTTCGAGACTTTAATTGCCCCACACACACAGTATCACACAGTGCTCTGTCGCTATGGTCCAGCTTCTTGTCTACTCTTTGGACCAACAGCTTGGGGCTTAGACGGGTAAGCGGCTTCTTAGACTGGTAAGCAGTTGACACGATTCGCGGCTTAATTGCTTTTTTCACCCAATATGAATGATGGATGATGCTTCGATGGAGAGCGTAGAGCGAAGGAGCATGTAAATAGAGGAAATGAAGCTACAAAATGATATTTCTTTGCATACACCTGCTTTATTTCACTGGCAAATTGCTTCTGATTGAAGTTGCAACATTAGACAAATGGAATTATGAGTGCTCTGTATACACAGATTTGGGTAACATTTTGGAACGTTTCAAGGCAGTTCAGGGTGCACTTAGCTTCAATTAGCTACAGTGATAGGTACATATGTACATATAAGGTAATAAATACTTAGTAAAGTTCCTCCCAGTTTTATATAAAGCACCCGTGGGGCACTTCCAAATAAATCAGTAGCTAAAGTCCAGCCAATAGAATCGTTTATCATAAAAATAAAATGTACTCCTTGCAACTGTGGATTTTTGTGGTGATACTTGCCTGGATATATTTTCTGTGGAGCCGACGAAGGTTTTACTTACTGATGCTGAGAGTGAAGGGTCCCATAGGATATCCTCTCATAGGCTTCTATCTTCAGTACTTACGGAAAAAACGTGACTAAGAACTACAAAACAAAAACAAAAAGCTATTCAAATGCATCCCTTTCTATCATCAGGTAACACGGACCAACGCGTTAAATATTACCAGAAGTATGGAACAACCCACCTCTCATGGCTGGGCCCTGTGCCAGTCCTGCAGACATGTGAGCCAAATGTTGTTCATGATATTTTAACGTCACCCCATTGCCTGGACAAGAGCCATTTTGCGATCAATGCATTAAAATTAACTGCTGGCCCGGGAATTATGGCATTACGAGGTAAAATAATGCATCACAAATGTTCTACTAATATATAAAAGTACAAATTCTCCTGCATTAGGATCACATTGGGTTAAGCGTCGCAAACAGTTGAATCCCTCATTCAGGAACAATGTCCTGATGAGCTTCCTTCCGCTGTTCAACGAGGAGACGAATAACCTGATCTCTTTGCTGGACACTCTTGTGGGCCAGGGTGAACAGAAACTGTTGCCGGAGTTTATAAACTGGTCGTTTACAACAGCGATCCGTAAGCCATCTCTCTTTTCAGTTCCTTAGCAAGCGATCCTAACCATCAATGACTATCCACATTTAGAATCTACAATGGGCAGCGATGTGAAGGAGAATCCAGGCATCAAGAATGGGACGGTACTCCAAACATTTCATAAGTAAGACCGGAATTACTTTTGCTCAAAAAATCAACAGTTTGTAATTCTCAAACACGTTATAGTCTCCTGGAAGATGCAAATATCTCAGTGATACATCTCTGGCGCCAGAACCGGATCATTGCAACACTCTTAGGCATCCAACAGCGGAGATCAAAAATGCTGAATTATTTGAATGCGTTTGCTCTATCTGTATGTAAGACATTTCAGCGCTAAAGGTATTAAAAATATCAAATATTTTCTGGTTTAGATAATAGAGGAAAAGCTGCAGACAAAAAGCAATGAGAGCACAGAAACTTTGGCGAGCAGGAATACAATTATCAATCGAGTTGTGGAGCTGATAAAAAGCGGAGAGCTTTCCTACGCAGATGCCAGATGCGAGTGCCTTCTTATCGTCGTTGCTGCCTTCGAGACATCGGCCGTAACAGTCTTTAACACTCTTACTTTGTTGGCCATGTTTCCCGAGTATCAAGATACAGCCTTTGAGGAGCTGAAAAATGTCTTCCCTAATGGAGCAGACTCTGAGGTCTCCCACGATGACATACAGAAACTGGTGTTCTTGGATCGTGTGGTGAACGAGTCGATGCGGCTGCTACCTCCAGTTCCTCTACTCCCACGGGAGACCTCAGCGGACTTGCAACTCTCAAATGGTATTCTGATCCCCAAAGGTGTTACAGTTGCCATTGACATACTGAACGTTCATCGCAACAAGAATTTCTGGGGCCCGGAGGCAGATACCTTCAATCCCGACAACTTTCTTCCCAAAAACATTCGGGAAAGGCATCCCTACGCATTCATTCCGTTCAATAAGGGCAAAAGAAATTGTCTAGGTGGACTATTTTAGATGAAATCTTTGAATAGATTTTATAGTATTTTCTACTTACAGGCTGGAAATATGCGGAGCTCTCTACAAAGATTGCCTTGGCCAAGATACTGAGGAACTTTCGCGTGAGCACAAGCTTTCGTTATGAGGATATCTCCTTCCTTGAAAATATTGTTCTGGAGTTCAGGGAAAAACCGCTTTTTCAAGTGCACAGGAGGTGATTAACATAGTCTCATAGACTTTGATTAGTAAAAATACAACAGATATTCATTGTTAAAGCGAACTTCAATCCTTCTTATAAATACATTGTTCATTTGATTAAATCAATACGTTTATTAAGTTAATTCCTATTTTGTTTGGGATTAGCTTTACTTGCACCTTTCGACAAAATCCAAATGGTTTTCCTCAAGGAACCAAAGCAACTTCTTTTTTTTTTAACTTTTAAATCTGTTAGGTTAGAGGTAGCGGTTTTTACACTTAATATAAGTATCGTACATCTTTATATCTGGTTATAAAGAACATTTCCATTATAAAAAGCTAATTGTTGCAGCTAGAAATGGAACCCAAGCTCTTTGCGGTCTGAGTTTACCGTCTGGGAAATATTAAGCTTTCAACTCCAAAATTTGTGTTATTTGTGCAATCATTTGTGTAAATCTCAGAAAAAGTCGGAAATCGGTGCATTAATGCGGAGTCTTTAAAAAAATATGGTTTGGTTTTTGGAGGAAGCATCGAGTCGGGTTGGATATTTATCCGAGATCTTCAATATTCTAAATGGTGGATTTTGTGCTTGCCAACCTTAGGCTGAAGGGTGTGCTAATTCTTAGCCCGTAATTGTAAATATTTGTAACAGCTTGAATTAATTTGAGGCACTCTGAGTTTATTTCAGCAACTTAAGATTGCTTTTATTATTTTTTATTATATACAAAGTATACCTGAAGTTCATTGTTTCATTCTCACATTAAGAACATTTCATATAAAAGCTCATACAGAGCCCCAAATTAACTTCAATCTGTGAAATCAGAGGTTCAGTCGAATGATGTTCTCGTCGCAACTGTGGATAGCTGTGGGGATACTTGCCTGGATATATTTTCTGTGGAGCCGGCGGAGATTCTACCTGCTGATGCTGAGGGTGAAGGGTCCTGCAGGATTTCCCTTGCTCGGCATATCCATCAATTATCTATGGAATAAACGTGAAGAAAGCCCCACACAGCACCATTAGAGGTATTCCTTACTAATACGACATATCAACAGGTAATATGGCCTCACGGGGTAAAATATTCGAGAAATATGGACCCACCTTCCTCACCTGGCTGGGCACAGTGCCAGTGCTAACGACATGTGAGCCTAACGTTGTCCAGGATATTCTATTGTCTCCCCATTGCATGGACAAGAGCCAGGCTGCCTGCAATGCAGTAACAAAGACTGCTGGTGCGGGAAATCTAGCATTACGGGGTAAGATAATAAACAATCCATCTTGGATCCGTGTAAATATATAAGTACTCCTGCTTTAGGGTCACAATGGGTTGAACGTCGCAAACAGATGAATCCTTCATTCAGGCACAATGTCCTGATCAGCTTCCTTCCGATCTTCAATGAGGAGGCGAAAATCTTATTATCCTTGTTGGACACTTTTGTGGGTCAGGGCGAAAGGGAAATGTTGCCAGACTTGCTAAACTGGTCCTTTAGAGTAGCCAGTCGTAAGGAATCAATCTGTTTAGCCCTTTAGTTGAATGTGTTAACCATCAATGAATATTTATCTTTGAGCAGAAACAACACTGGGCAGCAATGTGAAGGAGAATCCAAACTTCATAAATGGCGCACTAATAAAAAACTTCAACACGTAAGATGCAATTACTCGATCATATCAGCAATTTGAGCGACTTATTACGTTGAAACCTGTTAGTGTTTTAGAGCTTACAACACTGTCGGTAGTGTTGCCATGGATCCAGAACAGAACTATCGCAACGCTGCTTGGAATTGAAAAGAAAATAACAAAAGCGAAGTTCCTGATGGATGAACTAATGAGACCCGTGAGTAAGAAATTTAATACATGGAATTCACTTTAAGTATTTCTCTTCTCAGATAATTGAGGAAAAGATGAAGAATACGCCAAATGAAAGCCAAGAATCCTTGCCAAGCAGGAACACGGTGATCAATCGGGTTGTGGAGTTCCTAAAAAGCGGAGAACTTTCCTACGATGATGCCAAGGGCGAGTGCGGTATTATCGTTGCCGCTGGCTTCGAGACAACCGGCATAACCGTCTTTAGCACCCTTACGTTTATGGCCATGTTCCCCGAGTATCAAGAGGCCGTCTTTGAAGAGCTGAAAGATGTCTTCCCAAATGGAGGAGACTTTGACGTCTCCTACGAAGACCTACAGAAGCTGGTGTACTTGGATCGTGTGTTGAAAGAGTCGATGCGGCTAATCCCAGCGGTTCCATTGGTTCCACGGGAGACCTCGCACGACGTACGGCTGTCCAATGGCATTGTGTTGCCCAAAGGCTTGGCAGTGAGCGTCGACATATTCCACACGCACCGCAACAAGGATGCCTGGGGTCCGGAGGCAGACAAGTTTAATCCCGACAACTTTCTACCCGAAAATATTTCGAAAATTCATCAATATGCTTTCATTCCGTTCAGCAAGGGAAAGAGAATTTGCATTGGTTGGTTGCTCATTCGATGTAATTGAGTAGATATTGTAGAGCTTTCCTCTTACAGGCTGGAAATATGCGGAAATTAATACGAAGATTGCCCTCTCAAAGATTTTAAGGAACTTTAAGCTGAGTACCACTTTTCGCGCAGAGGATTTTGTATTCATTGACAATGTTGGTATGGAGTTTGGTAAGAAACCTCTTCTTTCACTGCAGCGAAGAAGTCCACAATAAAGCTAAGCACAGAGTGAAATATATTATTCGTATGATTTGTTAACGTGTACAATCCCATGGGGTTTTGAATAAAAAGCTGGAGTTTCGTGAAAGTGTGTCTCAGTTTAAGCACTGCAAGGTGGAGTTCACTTGGAATAATTTGCTGACCTATAAAAACCTTAATAAACCCCCCCCCGAATCGCTCCGAAACCATCTCTGATAAAATAGTCAAAAAATTGTTTGAAAATGTGAAATTAAATTCGTGACAAAATTAAATATAATAAAATGTTGGCGCTTGCTAGAACTCCATGGGGAATTCAAGTTTTGAAGGAACTGACGAAACTTTGTCCTATGTTCAGCTGCTCCTTCTCGAAGCATTCATGCAAGAATGAGAAGGGCCGCTTTAAGATCGTGTTGGTGCGGCATGGCGAGTCCGAGTGGAACCAGAAGAATCTCTTTTGCGGCTGGTTCGATGCCAAGTTGAGCGAGAAGGGGCTGCAGGAGGCTTGCTCGGCAGGAATAGCACTCCAGAAGGCCAAGATGAGCTTCGATGTGGCCTACACGTCGCTGTTGTCTCGAGCACAGGACACCCTGGCGGCTGCCCTGTCGGCCAGTGGTCATAAGGATATCCCAATCTGCAAGACTTGGCGCCTGAACGAGCGACACTATGGCGGCCTGACAGGCTTCAACAAGGCTGAGACGGCCAAGAAGTTTGGCGAGGAGAAGGTGAAGATCTGGCGGCGCAGCTTCGACACGCCGCCGCCTCCAATGGAGAAGGATCACAAGTACCACGACTTCATTGTGAACGATCCGCGCTACTGCGGGCAACTGGACCCCAAGGACTTCCCCAAGTCAGAATCCCTCAAGCTGACAATCGAGCGCTGTCTTCCGTACTGGAACGATGTGATCGTGCCCCAGATCAAGGAGGGTAAGCGGATCCTAGTTGCCGCCCATGGCAACAGTCTGCGTGGTGTGGTCAAGCACCTGGAGGACATGTCTGATGAAGCCATCATGGGCCTCAATCTGCCAACGGGAATACCCTTTGTCTACGAGCTGGATGAGTGCCTGAAGCCGTTGGGCACCATGAAGTTTCTCGGTGATCCCGATACGGTGAAGAAGGCCATGGAGGCCGTGGCCAACCAGGGCAAGGCCAAGTAGTCAGATTCGACCTAAAACTGTCCGATTTTTGATACCCGCCAAAGGTGGACAACTCTCTGTCGGGGAAGGTCAAAGCAATCAATGTTCAATCCACTTGCATGCCAAACAAAAAACAATTCCCCACGGAACTGGGAACTGGGAATCTCCGACCGAGAATTGTGGCGAGAACCGAGCGAAAGTCAAGCAGCAAATAAATTTATTTGATTTTAATTGACAATGAAAAGTCAACAGAGATGGGCAATGGACTCTTGGTCGTGGTCTTTGGTCGCGGTCTTTGTTTTGGTCTTGCTCTCAGGGTCTGGATCTGTGGGTCTCGGTCTCGAACTGGGTCTGAACCGAGCCCAAGCTATGCCTGGCATATTCATATTTATATTTTCATTGCGTTCGTTTAACAAATCAGGGAATCAAGTGTGTCGCGTCAATTTTAATTGCTGTCCCTGTCCCTGTGTTCGCTTTTTGGATGAGTCTGGCTCTGGCTCTGGGTCTGGGTCTGGGTCTGGGTCTGCTTCTTCTTTGGGCTGCTGGCTCTGGAATTTCAAATGGGTCGAATTTTAATTTGTTTAAATGAAATACTCATTTAGATCTTATTGACAAACAAATTGAATTGATTGATCTAAATGAATTTATTCTCCAATGTGCAGCACAGAGTCTCGACTGTGAGTCGAGTCCCGCCCAGCGGATAGCACTAGGGATGGGGTTGAAGATGGTTATGGGTTCGGCTTACTCTTGCACTGCTTTGACCCGCTGTTAGCTTTCCATATATACTCGTACATATGGATCTGGGGAGTGAGTGCGGATGAGTGCCAGATTTTCCGTGTTATGCTCTCGTGGACCGTAGCCGAGGTCTCAGCTGGTAAATTGAGAGCGTGAAACGAGCAACGAGCCTGACACTGTCCGACAAAAGATGTTTGAGATCATAAACAGATCAATGCACTGCGCTACATTGTAATGGGTAATGGACCTAGTGGTAAGGAAATCTCTTAAAAACCCTCTTTGAATGGAGACAACCCCATAGGAAACACACACAACTTTGTTGCACAGTGTTGCTGAAAAGAACCCAAACTCAAAACCATGAGCTCCACATTATTTGAACTTAATTACACAGCCGTAGAAGTAATCCATGAGTCCATGCCAAAGCGAAGCGGAGCCGAAGTTAAAGTTGGAGTCAAAGTCGGCGCCCCGGCAAATCGTTTCCACTACAAATACCATATGCAGCATAGAAATTGCAGAAACATAAAAATGTTTGCACTTCGTATTTGTCGCACATAAAATCTAATATCGAATTACAAGGCGCACAGGCCTCGCCTCTCACACGGGACGCAGTCCTCCTCGGTTCCAGTTCCAGTACCCAAAACGCAAACGCAAAAGTCTTCCAGCCTCTGGGAGTGGAGTGGAGTGGAGTGTGCGTGTCAGCGAAACTTTGTGGCAGTCTCCTACGGCTCCTCTTGCCTCCTCTGGCTGCACGGCACCACCACCAGCACAGCCTCCTTCGGGGGGACTGTCCATAAAGAAACTGAATTGAGTTAAATGTGCGATAAATTGCTTTTTGCATTTATCATGGTCGCCCTGGCAGGCGGCAGGCGGCAGCAGCAGCAGCCACAGTTTCTCGCTGGAGCCAGGCCAAGCCAAGCCTAGACCATGAAGAGGAGAGAGAGCCTCCTCCGCCGACTCCAGTGCCTGCTCCTCTCACTCCCTAGATTCCAATCCCACCCCAATCCTCCCTACTACGTCTGTGTGGCGAATATTGAACAAGATTTTTAATTAGTCGCCAAAACGAATGAGAGGGGAGCGGGAAACTAAATACGTAGACTCCAATGAATTTATTCGCTGCAATGAGATTGCTTTATTTATACGTTGTCCGAATGTATTTATTAGGCCAGATCCTGGTTGATCACCTTGCTGATGTAGGGCAGAAAGCTGGAGACGCGCGTGTACACATCAGGCCTGCCCTGGGCACAGGTGGCGGAGCCATACGAGACGATGCCCACCAGTTGGGGACGAGAGCCAGCCATGATTAGCGGTCCACCAGAGTCGCCCTGTGGATGAGGCACACTCTATGTGTTGCCATATATGGGAAATGTCTATGAACTTACCACGCATGCACCTTGTCCCTGGGTAGCCAGGGCACAGATCTCATTCCGGGTCACACGGAAACCCTTCTGGTTGCACTCCTCATTCGAAATGGTGCTGTAGTGCAGTGCCTGGAGATGATCCGGCAGGCTGGCCGAGGCTGTAGCAGGAGTAGTTGATCCCCAGCCCGTAAGCCTCACCGACACCTTCTCGCCCACGCGATCCGTTCCACCCAGATGGATGGTCCCGACATCAGCGCGATTCAGGCGGAATGGAGGCGTCACCTTGATCAGCGCAATGTCGTTTATGATCCGTGGACTCATCGTGTACTGGGGATGCACGTGCTTGGCCAGCACCCGGTGTCGCAGGCCCCCGGACTTCCAGTTGAGGGTGCCAACCACCACGCTGATGTTCTCCACCTTCATCTTCTCCACGCAGTGGGCAGCCGTGAGCACATGCTGGGCACTGACTATGGAGCCCCCGCAAAAGTGACTCCAGCGTCCACGTCGCTGCATCTGCAGGGAGATCTGGAAGGGCACTGTCTCGTTCACCAGTTGGCCACCGTTGATCCTGGTGGGATCTGTGGCAGTTTCCTCGAACCGAACTGCATCTGTTGTGCTTTCTGCAGGGGCTATCCAGGCGGCCACAGCGGTCACGCTCAGATAGAGACAAAATAACTTTATGGAGAACATCGCGAGGTACTCCGCAGCGAATGAGTTGGAAATGATAACCTCCCATGGTTTTTATACCTCCCAGTTGGGGGTTGAGCTTATCATTTTATTTGGCGTAAGGTTGAAGCATGTAAATGTTTGTGAACTTGAAATCTGCCGAAATTGGGGTTACATGAAATATATACATAAAAATATATACACACGATCTCAATGGGTTCGGGGTTCAGCTAGAGAAGAATTATTTGCAAGGATACTCTGCAAGTACGGGCAAACAGTAGTCCAATTGGATCACCCGCTGTTCGTCCCTTGCGTGCCTGGTTATCATAAGCTGGCGGAGATCAGCCTTTCCCATCTGGGCCCAGAGACATTGCTTGACAGAAGCGCCTACCTGTTGTCATCAATTAGGTAACAAGCTCACGCGACCGATAAATATTAAGCCAGCCCGGCCCAGCCCGCTCTAGCCATATCTGATTCCACACACAGACTCACACACACAACTGGGGAGAAGTGTATCTGAATCTGTGTATCTGCACTGTGCTCCGTGGCATGATCTCTTATCTGATTTGCAAATAAGAATCTGTTTAATTTGCCCAATGCCTGAGTTGGAGCGAAGCCAATGCCAGATCGCTGCATGCTACGTACCTGGGAGTCATAATTTATATAAGACCAGAGATCAGTGTGGGGGGAACGTGGATGTGGAGGCACTGCACTGCACCTTGCGAGGCGATGCCAAGCAAATTAAGTACTAAAATAAACGACCAATTTACTGATTATGCAAAACACGCACTTAATTTTCCACTCGCTTTTTTCCAGAGCAAAATTAATTGCCTGCACGAGTGGAAAACGCATTCTGGAGTGCAAGCGCTGCGTGTACACTGAATCTGTAGTCCAGCCTGATCCTGTTAATTTATGCTGTCAGTCATAATCATTTGCATACGAGTGTGACAACTACCAATACCAATACCAATACCCATTGATATTTACTTGATACATCTCTTCCTCCATCGAGACAATCACTATAATTCCGCCTTGACGGGGCTACTGGGCTTCGACCCTGGGCACTCCGCCTCCTCCTTTCACATCATAAAACCAGCGGCTCTGCTTTAAGAACTGCACAAATAAATCACATTGAAGACTGTGGCGGCGGCAAAGAGACAAACAAGAAACCCACACAAAATCCCAAAAACAGCAAATAAAACCCAGACCCATAAAAATTGCACTGAGAATGTCTCGACTCCGTTCTTGGCCACACGCACAATTCTACAGAAGTTGGCACGAAAAACATGGCCCTGAATGAGGGCCAACCAAGAGATCCAAGATCCGAGATCCAAGATCCGAGACGAGAGCCGAGGCAATCAAGCAAAATGTCATAATAATGATGGCGTCCCGTCGGAGCGGATGGGCCAGGATGCTTATCTTGTTAACACCGAACGGTCCAAAGGCAGGGAAGGCCTGAAACATTGCTGATGAAATGATTAAAATGCATTTTATTAGCCAGAATTTTGAGCATCATCTGCGGAATTGCAGAGCGGAGTTGGAGTTATGACAATAAAAGCTCGCAGTGAATTTTAATCAGGGTTGGAGCGAACAACAAGCAAAGGGAGTACAGCCAGTGCCTCTTTAGGTTCTTTTAATCAACATTTTTGTGGCTAGAACAAAGCCTAATGAGTTTTACACAGGGATTAACCTGTCAGGCAGGCTCCAGGCGAGACTCACATGCAAATTAGATGCGGGAATTAAGAATAAAAATCCGCAGATAAGTCATGCCTTGACAGGGTGGTCCAATTAACAAAAGCCAGCCATAAGGTAACACGACAGGCGCCAGAGCCAGAGCCAGAGCCAGAGCCACATCTACATCCTGTGGGTGGGGTGGAGGCTTGCCAGATATAATAAAGCCATTTCAGGTTCAAATCGGTTCGGAGCTGCAACGCAGCTCAGGACAATTAACACAGTAGTCCAAAGATCAAGACCTCAGCAACGGGCAAGTCCCAGCCCCGGCCAGAGCTCCATTTGAGCAGCCGCAGCCCAAACTGAGACAGAAACAAAAACAGAATCGAAACGAAACCGAGAGGTGTGCATAATTAATTTACGCCAGTGCGCCACACACACAGAGACCAGGCACCAGAGAACAGAGACCACAGACCAGAGACCAGGTCCACCCAAAAGGAGCAGCAAAATGATTCATTAGCTGGTTGCAATCAGCCCCGGAACTGACACATGGGGACTTTGGCTATGGATATGGCTCTGTCTCAGAATGTAGACCAGATAGCACTCACAGAGAGCCCGCCCAAACATCGGCCACTGAGGAAGAAGTCAGGAGCTGCAACTGCAGCTGAAGCTGAAGCTGATTTGCATCGAACATGTGAGATAGTCTGGCAGGAGAAGACAGAACAGAACAGGACTGGCCGAGTCCGAGGTGTCCGAGGTGTTGATTGCCAGCGGCAGGTCTCCTTGTCCGCCACTCGACAATGAATTAAAAGAAATGTCCGTTGTCCGTTGTCCGTTGTCCCTTGTCCGCTGTCCACTGTCCGAGGCCCCAGGGCGCTGCTTGTTTAATCGGAATATTTAAATTATACGCTGATTAAAACTGTGAGCGAGATCTCACTGCCAGGAGCTTCGGTTCTGACAGCACTTCTTGAGGTCTTTGCGTAGGTGTTATTACCAGGAACTGCGGAAGCAGTGGAGCCTCCACCTCCACCTCTACATGCCATGATTTCTGTGTGTTCCAACTGACAGTTTCTGCAGTCTAGACTATTTTTTGTTGCTATCACGGCGACCTTGTTACCCATTACATGGGGCGGTAGACAGAGACCACCCACAGCTGCACTCGATAAAATTCAAATGAATGAAAAACCCATTTGGCCGCATTATGTAGGTCTTCCAGCAGGGAGCTATATAAAGCCCAAATGCAGCTCCAGTGGCAGACAAAGCTCTTTTCAACATGAAGGAAGCCACTACTTTGATTTTGGTCTTGGCTGCTCTGATGGGAGTGCAGGTAATCCAAGGCAAGCCCATGGGCAGCGTCATTGATTGTGAGTAAAAGTAAAACTTAGGAAAGAGTAAAGGGAAACCGAAACTTATCCGTAACTCCCAACTAGTGGATGCGTACTTCGAGAATGCCAATTCCCAGGAACGCGTTGTCGGTGGCTACGATGTGCCCGAGGATGAGTATGTGCCCTACCAGGTGTCCATGCAGTTCCTAACACGAAACGGACAGCAGCGTCATTTCTGCGGTGGGTCTCTGATTGCCCCCAACCGCGTTCTGACTGCCGCTCACTGTGTCAACGGACAGAATGCCAGCCGGATCACCGTGGTGGCTGGCATTAGGGATCTCAATGACAGCACTGGCTATCGCTCCCAGGTGCAGTCCTACGAGATGAACGAGAACTACGAGGAGCTGGTGACCAGCGACATTGCCATCCTCAAGATCGATCCGCCCTTTGAGGTGGATCAGAAGCGTGTGGCCACCATCGATGTGAGCGGCTCGGACGAGGTGGGCGCCGATCAGGAGGTTCTGCTCACTGGCTGGGGCTCTGTCTTTCACTTTGGCACTGGTCCCTTTGCCAAGTATCCCACGGTGCTGCAGAAGCTCTCCTACAAGACGCTCAGCAACGACAGGTGCAAGGAGACCATGACGCAGCTCACGGACACTGAGATTTGTGCTCTCGAAAGATTTGGAAAGGGCGCCTGCAATGTGAGTGTTGTTTAATAATTTATTCAACTTATAATTTATCTTTTCACTATATTTTAGGGCGACTCTGGCGGTCCTTTGGTGATGCAGAAGGGCGAGTCTCTCAAGCAAGTGGGCGTCGTGTCCTATGGCACGGCCTTCTGTGCCTCCAACAGTCCCGATGTCTACACCAGAGTGTCCATGTTCGATGGCTGGATTGCAGAGCGAATGTCCTAAGTGACAAAAGATTGAATAAACATGATTTTGAATATGGAAATTAGCAGCCTCTCCTGTTTCTGTTTAGAAGGCTACCACCTGGCCGAGCTTGTAAATATTTTAACTAGGTTACTCTCTCCACAAACTCTGCGAATACCAGCAGAACTTTGCATTATATTTTGAATTTCAAGATCAAATTTAATGGCATAACCAAGTTTGCCAGTTGGCCCAGATGTCTGCAGCGATATCTATGCAAATTCCCCCTCTAATGGGGGCTCAGCCAAATGGGGTTTATATAAGTTCGTAGCACGAAACCATTGACACTAAGCAAACAACCAACGATGGGTCTGCCATAGCTCCTACTGATCGCTGTGCTCTCTGCCGGAGGCGCCACAGCGCGTCTTAATTGTAAGTCTCCAAGTGCTGTAATCATGCAAGAGCTGCTGGATCTTTTCCTCTGCCTTCTAGCTCGTCAGCTGAGTAGTGATGATCCACCCACTCGAATAGTGGGTGGTGCGGATGTTCCGCCGGGGGAGTACGTGCCCTACCAGGTGTCCATGCAGTACAGGACCAGTGGCGGCCAGATGCACTTTTGCGGCGGCTCTATAATATCTCCCAATCGAGTCCTGACGGCTGCCCACTGCTGTCGCGGACTCAACGTGTCCCGGATGACCATTGTGGCCGGCATACGCAGCCTGCAGGAGAGCGGCTCCCGCTCTCAGGTTGTGTCCTACAGCATTCATCCCAAGTATCAGGAGCTGGTCACCAGCGATGTCGCCGTGCTGTTCATCGAGCCACCGCTGGAGATGAACAATGTCAGCATCAGAGCCATAGAGTTTGCTGCAAAGCAAAAGGAGTTTGTCGGCGGTGGAGTTCCCGTAACCCTCACAGGCTGGGGTCTGCGCCTGCCCGTTCCCTTTCCCTTTCTGGACAACGTCAACTATCCGAACACACTTCAGCGCATGAGCTACCACACGATAGGGAATAAGCAGTGCAGAGACGCGGGCATGGAGAGTGTCACGAATACGGAGATCTGCGCCCGGGGTCCCTTCAGAGGCGCCTGTTCGGTAAGTCCTGCCAATCTATCTAAAGAGATTGAAAACCAAGTTCTTCATTTCTCTTTCAGGGTGACTCTGGTGGCC